AAAGCTGGACAGTGAATAAGGAAGACAGTAGAAGAACTGATGCTTTTGAGTTATGGTGTTGGAGGAGAATATTGAAAGTGCCATGGGCTGCCAAAAGAACCAATAGATCCGTTTTGGAAGAAGTGCTGGCAGAGTGCTTCTTGGAGGCCACGATGGCCAATCTTTGTTTCTCATTAACTGCAATTTCGTAGATTATATATGTACGTACACTTGCATTTATAGTTAAGAACCTAAAGTTATGCTTTTTGCTAACGGGTAAACTATTAATTTTTCACTTACTCGTGGCAGATGATCTTGTGTATTATAACTGGCATCATAATCAGACAGAACATCAAGAACTTCAGAATACATGTCGATCAAAGATTTCTGTAAAATTGAAAAAAAAAAATATTAGTAATGTAAAACACTGAAGATCATTAAAAATAATACCACAGATGTGTCAAGAGAAAAGAAGTGATAAAGTCCAGATTTCTCCATATCACTGCAGTTATTAACAAATATCCTGATTTACTATAGGACACTAATTCAAAATTTCCTAATCTTCTAAATTCAAAATGGTAAAAAAAAAAAAGGAAAGTTGTTAGTAAATAGTGAAACAGTACTGTTAAGTGTCCAGCAGACCATTAACAACTAAAAGGCTCAATAAAAGAGCTAGGAAGCCAACTGACCAGGAAATCATATTTCCCAAGTTAGGTTGTGATAGTGCATGTGAGAGACAGAAAGTCTGAAATGAGGATAAAAAACAAAGTTTTACTTAGACAGCATGGCAATTTAAGAGCACCAGGGGTATATAGCTAGAGGCATAACTCCTCTATTGTTTCTACATTAACTAGGAACATAGGGCCTTACACATAACAAGTTTCACATAAATACTAGATAAATGAATGAATGAACATATAAACAGGCCTAAACAAAAAGGAGCTACCATCCTGTATTTAATAATTAAATAAGGGGTTTTAGTTTCAGGAGCAAAATGAGGGCCTAAAGTTCCTTTAATCAATTAACACATGGTGGTGGTGGTTAGGTGCCGGGGAGTCGGTTCCAACGCATAGCGACCCTGAACAGGATTCCTGATGCTGTAAATCTTTACGGAAGCAGAAAGTCTCATCTTTCTCCCATGGAACAGCTGGTAGTTTCGAACTGATGACCCTGAAGTAAGCAGCCCAATTCGTAACCACTACGCTACCAGTGCTCCTTAATTAACACCTAGAAATAATTAAATAGAAGGCAACTGCTGTTCATTCACCTAAAAACAAATAAAAGGATTTTTATTACCAATTCATCTTAGAGAAAATACTGTTGCTGAGATAAAACTCTCAACACATATTAACACGTGGACATTTCTCCTAACTAACTGGCTGATATTACTTGCAAATGCACTATGCTATCTATCTGTTTTATGTAATAATGATTTAAGAGTTACAGTTAGTTACATATCAGTTAAACTATAACTATATATCTTCAGACCTTGGTCACAGAAAGTCATGATTTACTCATTTTGCTGTACACAAATTCTTTAAACTTACAAGACCAAACAATTATTTTTATTTTAGTACTTACAGCTTGGTTTGCTGCTATTACATGTCACTGAGTCAGTTTTGACTCACAGCAACCCTCGGTCGACAGAACACAACACTGCCCCCAGTCCTGTGCCATTCTCACTATCTTTACTATGTTTAATTCTGTTGTAGTCATTGTGTCAATCCACCTCATTGAGGCTTTTCTTCTTTTATGATGATTCTCTACTCTACCAAGCAGATGTCCTTCTCCAGGGACTGACTGATGTCTCCTGATAACAGACCCAACCTATACGAGACGGTAGCTCTCCATCCCTTCTTCTAAGGAGCATTCCAGGTGTATTTTGCCAATAAAGATTTGCTGGTTCTCCTGGCAGTCCATGGTATATTCAGTATTCTTTGCCAATACCATAATTCAAAGGCATTAATCCTTCTTTGGTTTTCCTTATTAATTGTCCAGCTTTCACATGCATATGAGGCGATTGCAAATACCCTGGCTTGGGTCTTGCACACCTTAGTCCTTAAGAGACATCTTTGCTTTTTTTTTAACACGTTAAAGTGGTCTTTTATAGCAGATTTGCCAATACAATGTGATGTTTGATTTCTTGATTGTTGCTTTCACAGGCCCTGGTCTTGTATGCAAGTAAAATGAAATCCTTGGCAACTTCAATCTTTTCTCTGTTAATCTTATTTGCTTACCGGTCCAGTTTTGAGTTTTGTTTTCTTTATGTTGAGATGCAATCTATACTGAAAGTTAGTCTTTGATCTTCATTAGTTAAGTACTTCAAGTCCCCTTTGCTTTCAACAAGCAAGGTTTTGTCATCTGCATTATCACAGGTTGCACTGAGTCGTCCTCCAATCGTGATGCCTTGTTCTTCTTCATATGAAGGTACTTCAAAAAGTTCATTGAAAAATTCAATTATCACTTAATTCCATTTTTCTACAAACTTTAGATACATCTTCATATAGTTTACTTTCTCAGATTATTTGCTCAGCATACAGATTCAATAGATCTGGTAAAAGCATACGAATGTGACATCACTTTTCCTGATTTTAAACCATTCAGCGTCCCCTTGTTCTGTTTCAACAACTGCCTCTGGTACAGGTTCCTTATGAGCACAATGAAAAGTGTTTCGGGATTCCTATTCTTTACAATGTTACGCATAGTTTGTTATGACCCACACAGTCAAAAGCCTTTGTGTAGTCAAAACACAAATATAATAATGTAAAACAGAAGACATTTTAAGAAATACCACATATGTATCAAGAGACAAGTTAATAAATTTCAAGGTTTCCCATAATTATTGCAGTGTTTTTCTAATTATATATTCATGTTATTGTTGTTGTTAAATACCATGGAGTCGGTTCTGACTCATAGTGACCCTGCACCGGGTTTCCGAGGCTATAAATCTTCACAGGAACAGAACGCCTCATCTTTCTGCTGCTGCGGAACCACTGGTAGTTTCGAACTGCTGACCCTGAGGTTCGCAGCCCAACTGTAAAGATTAAAATATTACGGGATAAAATTCCATTTCTTCTTATACAATTGACCCATATATTTTTTTTTTAAACAGATATTCTGATTTGCTAAAGTACATTAATTCAGGATTTCCTAATCTTCTGATTAAATGGTAAAAAACGGTATTCTCTGCTTTCAGCCAAGATCCATCGGATGTCAGCAACAATATCGCTTGTCCTACATTCCACTGTGAATCTGGCTTAAATTTCTGGCACTTTCCTTTCAATATGCTGCTGAAACTATTTTTGAATTATCTTTATAAAAAAACCTTACTTGTGTGTACTTTAATGATATTATTTGATAATGTCCGCATTCTGTTGGGTCATCTTTCTTTGGGATGGGCACAAGTATGGATTTCTTCCAGTCCAAGAGCCAGGTAACTGTCTTCCAAATATCCTGGCACAGCACAGTGTGATGTATCTGTTTGTTGAAACATTTCAACTGATTTTCTGTCAATATCTGGAGCCTGGCTTTTCAACAATGCTTTCAGTGCAGCCTGGACGTCTTTCAACACTACTGGTTCTTGATCATATGCTGTCTCTGTCTCTTAAAATGGTGGAACACTAATCAGTTCTCTTTGGTATACAGACACTGTTGTCTCTGAGATATTGTGGTGTCATTATAACTATTTAACTGATGACTGTATGCTCGTGTGTTCTTAGGCTCTCACTGTCTCCTGGTGGGTGTGATTAGAGAATGGAAACGTGTGCACCATTTTCCATTCATCATTTGTGCATGTCTGTTTAGGGGTGGGTTTGGCTGGTGTGTTGACTGATGTCTTTCATTGACCAAGTGGTAGAAAGGCTCTTGTGTGGTGGGTGAAGCGACAGAGAGTACGGCTGTGGTTGAGCTGTATGGACACGGCTGCCATTTTCCACTGGATGAGGGAAGAGGACCAAACACACACAGGGAAACAAAACAGAACAAGCAAGCAAGCAAACAACAGTGAAATCAAAATATAATAAATGAGGAAAAAGAAAAATGGGCAGCAAGAAAAAATAATTAATAGTATAAAGAGTAAAGAGAGCCAGGAAAATAGAGCTGTACAAGGGGAAAATAGGAAAATAAAAGAGATAAAAACACTAAAAAAACAGAGAGGGAATATGAAAAGAGAGACTAGAGCACAGTAAAGATAAATAAAGAGAGAGGAAAAAAAAAACAAGAGGGTGGAAATGAGAAACAGAAAGCAATATAAAAAAAAGCAGAGCTAGAAAAGATAAAAATCAAAGGAACGGATAGAGAGGAAGAATAGTAAGCCAACAAAAACAATGAAACAATGAAAGGAAAACTAAAAACTCAGTGCAGTTGCTGGACCCAGAGAGGAGAAAACTGGGGGCTCCTGACAGTCACAGAACTCACAAAAGTGGGTGGAGAAGTAAGTAGGGTAGAGGAAGGCTATGACGGCTAAGTTGCCAGCCCTAAATGGAGTTCCTCTAGGCCTAACTGTTATCTATGCTCAGGGCACCCAATCCAGAAGTTGCAGAGGCCTTTCAAGTTGCTAGTTTCGGTGCCTTGTCAGAAGCAGGGGGCAGCTGGGGGCAGTCTAACTCGGGTCTAGAGGCTCTGTGGGTTCTGTGGATCTGGAAGAGATTCTGCCTGAATCCAGGTGTCTAGGCAGCACAACAGGCATCTGCCACACACTGCCTCAAATCGCATGGCTCCAAACTCCTGAAGAGCAAGGTCTGTGCTGGGGGTGGATGGGGTGGGGGCTGGACCCACTTCTGCTATCCAGGGGAATGTGGGGAACAAAAAGGAATCCCACCTTTTCAGTTGCCCATGTGAATCTGGACCATCAGGTCTCTCCAAAGCTGTTCACAAAAGTGCAACATGGCCACACCACATCTGGCCAGAAGCCCTTTCACCAGTCTCCTCCTTTTACCACCCCTGCTTAGCTTCTCCTCCCAGTAGGTCTTCAGTCCACTTCTCTGACCCTTCTTCTGAAGCTCAAGGTTCCAGGATTGTTCTCTGTGCCTATTTCATTTGGTCTCCCGTATCTTTGCTGTAGAGTGTCTGTAGAGCATGTCTGGTGGGTTCTTTCTTGCAAGATGTCGCTTGGAGTGTGTTCTTCCCTCTTGGTTTGCTGACTACAAGTCTTTGCACATTACATTATAATATTTAACACTGTCTTCAAGAGCTGTACTTTGATATTTGTTTAGCTCTTTTACATCATCACCTCTATATTTAGTCACAGGTTCTAGAGCATCTTCTGACATCCATTTTGGTCTTTTCTTTCTTTCTGCCTTTTTAATGACCTCTGCTGTCTTCCTGTATGATGTCCTTGTCTGGTCTTTAGTCACTAATGTTCAATGTATCATATGCTATCTTTGAGATGATCTCTAAATTCAGGCCATACTTTGGTTTCCATGGAGTTAATTTTCTTCAGCTTCTATTTGAACCTGGATATAAGTATATAACTGTCTGTTTCGCAGCTGGACCCTGTTTTTGTTAGGACTGATGATATTGAGTTTCTCCAACATTATGCTAAGTAAAGTGGAGATTCAACAAAAAAGAGTAAGACTTCCAAAGAGATGGATTGACACCACGGCAGCAGCAACGGCCTTGAGGATAACAATTGTCAGGATGACACAGGAGAGGGCAGTGTTTCATTGTGTTGTGCACAGAGTCTCCACGAGCCGGAAGTGACTCAATAGTACCTAGCAACATCTATTATCACAGATGTAGTTGACTGCAATGCTGTGGATTCCATCTGGCTAGGGCCATGTAAATAGTCTCAGCTTTTAAGTTATTGAGAAAAGGTATTTGTAAGGAAGAAATCATAGGTCTTGCACAACTCTATCATGTAATCCACAGTGTTATTTCTATAAGACCTTATTTTCCAACTACTGATGCTTCCTCTTTAGTTCTAAATTTCAAATTCCATTCACCAGTATCGATATATCTTAATAGTATATTTGATCAATTTCAGACTTCCGATGTTTGTAAAATCCTTCAATTTCTTTCATCAATGGTTTGTGTGTAATTGTGATAGTTGTACTAACTGGTCTTCCTTAGAAGTGCATGGATATTATCCTATCACTAACAGCAATGTACTTCAAGATAGATCGTGAAATGTTCTTTTTGACATTAACATGATGACAAGCCTCTTCAATTTGCCATTCTCAGTCTCGTAGACAATATGACTGTCTGATTCAAAATGGGCAACACCAGTCCATTTCAGCTCACTAATACCTAGTGTATCTATCTTCATGCATTCTTTCATGTTTTGATCATTCCTAGATTCACATTTTATACTTTGTATGCTGTTTATTAGAGTCTTGGTGTGTGCTGTGGGTTAATGCGCTGGACTACAAAGCTAATTTGAACCACAAGGTCAGCATTTCAAGCTCACCAGCCACTCCTTGGAAACCCTATACAGGGTCGCTATGGGTCAGAACCGATTTGATGACACTTAACAACAACAACATGCTGCTTATTAGTGGATGTTTGCATCTGTTTCTTCTCATTTTTAGTTTTGTCCCACCAACAATCAGAGGTCCTAAAAGCTGTATTCCATCCACGTCATTAAGGTAGACTCCACTTTGAGTTTAATAAGAGGACAAGTTTAAAGGAGGATAATAAGATTTACTTCATTGAAAATGTTAATTGCCAATCTGTTGATAATTACAATGCCAGCAAACATTTCTTTTCCCCTCAAATTCTTTAAAATGCTTAAGGAATTGTCTGAAAGAAAATAAGACAACTATGATACATCTTATTTTAAAGTTCATCAACTCATAATTCTGATTGTATAGTTGTAATAACAACAACAAGTCTAGAAATAAACTAGGTATTTTAGAAAAACAACTGATTTCAGGTTAACCCTTAAAAGCATGAAGATTTTAACAATATAAAACCAATGTTTGGAGGCTGTAATTTGTGAGCGTCCTTATATAGAAAAGGCACTCCTTTTCCCCAAATATATCAGGATGGTAGAACACTGGACTGTTCCTTAAACACTGAGATCAGTGAACACAGAAAGTTAAGGAACAAAGTTCTGATAATTAATCAAAGTAAATTTTAAATACCTTGAGCTTTCTATGATGGATACCTTTGTCATCTTTTTGTAATACCAATTTTCTCAATTCTTTGTTCTCCTTTTCTAACCGTTCCAAGATTCTCTGGTACTTTAACTGCAACAAAATGATACATACAGCTATTGAAGAAAAAGATGCATGAACAAATAACATTAATAAAGTCTGGATTAAAATCTTCCACTAAATCCTGAAGTCACATTTCCTGATACTGACAGTGAAATGTTTTAAAATGTCTACGAAATGCTGAAAATAACACTATATTATAAATATTATTTCTTCATGCCAGTAGTGAAACTTATTAGAATTTTTTTTTTTATCACAACCTGTAATTTTACTTGGAAAATTCTTTGATACTTACATTGAAGACATTAAATTATTTTAAAATACTAAAAATGTCAAAATTTAAATAAAGTGTGTCATTAAGTACATTCTAGGAAATAACGTTTCCAACTACATCAAACAATTAAGTTTTCACTACAGAGACTTCTGAAATCTGTTTAGCTTTTACATCATGACCTCTATGTTCAAGTGCAATTTTACTAGAATTCATTCAATATATTGCATAGATCAAGTCTTTTAAACTAATGATTTTATCGTTAAGTGTAATGAAGATAGAGGAGAGCAGTGGCTCTGTAGGATAAGTTCTGGACTGTGAACCACTATATCAATGGTTCGAGTCCACTAGATACTCCATAGGAGAAAGATGAGACTTTGTGCTCCAGCAAAGATTTACAGCCTCAAAAACCCTATACAGGGTCACTCTGAGCCGGAAACAACTCCATGGCAATTAACAACAACGAACACACAGTAAAGCATAATAAGCATCTCTGGTTTTTCTTACTCAATAGAATTACCTGAGTATGTAGAAGTTCTTCTTGAAGTTGATCAATTTTCTCTTTGTCTGATACCTAAATATAGAAGGTAAATTAATTTTTGTTTAGTAGAACCAGGTTTATATAGGACTACAGTAAGTAAAAAAAAAAAAAAAGTTTTTAATTCTGTTTCAGTTTTGAGTTAAAAGGACTAGTTTTACCTACCCATTTAAACAAAGCAAATTTTAAATCAAATAATTAGGAAAGCCAAAAACATCTGTACTCATCAATAAAGGTAGTTCAGGATTTTATACTAAGAAATAACCTAAAACACAACACTGTTCTTGTTGCCATTCTAGTCATTTCACATAAAAGGCTTGTTAGAAAAGCAAACTACTAACAATTGCACAACTTACTATTTTCTTCCTGGCTATCCTGTACATTTAGCTCTGGGAACTAGATGCCTGGAGAAATAAATCATGAAGAACCCTATAAAAATGTGTTCTGGGAAATCAGATCTATGTTACCATTTTCTGCTCTTGAAAAAGCTCACTGATAAGAAGACGACTTTTAAGCAAATATTATCTATTTCTCTGTTGTGAAAAGGGATAAATGCACAGCAAAACTTGCATTTTCAGTGCTCTAACATGCTTGTTTTTAAACATGTTCCAGCCACATGCTTGCTTTTAAACATGTTCCAGCACAATACCTTCTAACCCATAATACAGAAAATGCATGATAGTGATAAAGCCAAGAAAAACAAGTAAAATTGATTGAACATAGAACAAAAATAAAATAAAATCACAGGTATTGTGTAAACTACTTCAAATTGTTATCAATGCTAATATTTCTAGATAAATTGATCCCCTCCCCCAAAAAAAACAAACTTACTATACAACAGACTTTTAAGTAGTCACAATACAATTATAAATACAATATACAATGATCAATTATAAATTGGTTAATAAATTAAAAATTGGTTAGTAAATAAAAAATGATGTCATTTATGACAAATCTGCATAATTGTGCTTTGACTCCATGGTGAGGAACAGAAATTATCACCCCTAGTCTTTCAAAATAATTGTTTAGTTTCTGATCATCAAAATGGGTTAAGTATGAATTTAATTCATAGCAGACAAAAATCAAACTAAAATTCACATTCATGTTCATTTAAATCCTTTTAATTTTAATTCATTGACTATTTAATAGCGATAAAAACATTATGGTAGCAAATATTTATGAAATTGTTTTTATGACTTGCTTATTGAGGTAGACATTAATAAGTCTTGCTCACACTATATAAGTTATTTTCAAATTTTAGCTCCTGTTTCTAATACTTTCTCAAACATTTACTTAAATAATATAGATGAAAATGCTTGATACAAATGAAAGGAACATTTTTTTTCTTAAAAGCCTAAGCCTTAAAATTCCCAAATACTATTAGGGTAATGAGAAAAAACTAAACTTATAAAAAAACAAATTTTTATTGTTTTCTCAATCCTGATAGAAATCAGAGGATTATTGACAGATGTTTTGACTATGTGTGTGTCTGTACATTGAACAAGAATTATTAATAGTCTCAGAAAAGGTAAGTAAACAAGCAAGTTGAAGGAAAACAAAAACTTGAAGGTCAATGAAGAAACAAATGATTCCATATTCTGAACGAATGGTGTGCCATTATACTGCAATAGTATGGTCATAACAATTTTGTTATACAGATTAAATTTCAAATTCATTCTGAAGGGTACTAAAATGGATTTACTTGGTTCCACTAAATATTCATCTAACTGGCAACTAAATTAGTATAAAATGTTGAAACAGTATTAGCCTAAATATTTTAGTTTTGAGTGTGACCATTTAATGATTCATGCAGTCTATTCTAAATCACCATGGGAATGCAACACTACTCTATATCTGAGAAACAGCTAGCACAATTACACAAAAGTTAGAATGTCTATTAAATGCCAAGGGTTATAAACGACTGACTTGCTCAGGTTTGGGAAATTTTGGAAAATAAAAAGATTACATAAAAAGTTAAAATGATTTGAGGTTATTGGAAAATTATAAACAATCTTTATGCTAATATTAGTATTTAGTAATCATGGATAGTAGGATTTTTATTTTTAGGAGTATACAGATTTTCAAATTAGTATTTTTAGGAGTATATAAATTATCATTTGCTCTTCTGATGCAATTGTTAGGAATAACTCATGCACAGTTTATTGACACACTTCCTATCTGCTTAGTTTAATGGAATATAAACATTAATCTTAATGTTTTATTAAAGACAGGTGGTGGTGAAATTAAGAATTGGACCTAATATTTTCTAAGAAACAAGAAGAAAACTTTTAGGTTTTACAACATAAATATTTACATACTCTCTTAAGCAAACAGCACATGCTATTTTTAATGTAACTTATTCTAGGTATTAATAAGTAATCTGGGTGATTTTATTTTAATAGTCTCACTTTACAGTACTTGTTTTAAAGGCAATGATGCACCTTACTGGTAAAATTCAGCCATTTATGACAAGTCCATGTCCTGATTTTTACTATTCGGTTGAAATTAATTTAAAACTCACCCTGACAGAAATGGGTTATCAATGGTCTTGAAACCAGAGCTTTTCTACAATGCCAGGGCTGTGAAACTGATGGAGAAAGACCGCGGAATCCTCCGCAGAAACAAGTTAAAGCTGAAAGAGAAAAACCTTTACTAGCTCCTCACAAAACCATGCCTGATTTTAAAAGCTTAAGCATTTTTTCCCTACAAAGCCATTGGGCATATTCTGAAATACCAAAATAGATATATAAAAGACTAGTTTTTAAAATTCCGTGTAAAACTAGTCTTTTATATATCTATTTTATATATCTAGTTTTAGTATGTTAAAACTACTTGATCTCTTTTGCTCAGAAGATACAGGGGAAATAAATTAATTGCTACCCATAAGATACTAAGGAGCCCTGGTAGTGTAGTGGCTTATGAGCTAGGCTGCTATCCAAAAGGTTAGCAGTTCGAATCTACCAGTTGCTTCTCAGGAGAAAGATGAGGCTTTATGCTCCCATAAATACTAACAGCCTCAGAAACCCTATACAGAGTTGCTATGAGTCGGAACCAACTTGGTGGCACACCACCTCCAACATTAAACTATAAGACATTAAAAAATGAATGCCCACTTGTATTTAAGATGGCAAGAGAGTAAGAATCATTAAAAAGCAACAAAAGGTACCTGTGGTTTGTGTGCTTCAAGTAACCTCATTTGCCTGAAATAATAAAAATGTCATGAATTATGCTTGGTAATTATGATAGTAAAGGATTAGAAGTCATCTCTGTACTAAGGAGAAGAAAGAAGGATCCTGCTTTTTAGGATACTAATGGAAGTAATTTCATTATTACTGTTGTAAGTACCGTCAAATTGATTCTGACTCATAATGACCCTATATTGGGTTTCCGAGGAGTGACTGGTGGGTTTGAACCACCGACCTTGGAATCAGCATTTCACTGCTTATCCTATAGCATCACACCAGGACTCCAATATCATTATGTTGCTGCTGTTGTGTGTTGTCGAGTCGATTCTGACTCATAGCAACCCTATATAGGATTTCCAAGGAGCAGCTGTTGGGTTTGAATCAGTGAACAAGTTGTGAGCAGTCCAGTGCTTACCCTAAAGCACCATACCAGGATTCCAATTTCATTATTGAAGAGCATAAATTATAACACCTCATTTACTTTCACGCAAAGTAACTCCAAAGTGAGCAAGAATAAGCCCTGTTTGGTGATCTACTAAGTGTACCTTAATGAACAAAGCCAATAGAGGTATAGTCCTGTCAGGTTCTATTCTATAAATTTAAAAAGGGAGGAAACAAGGGTTAAGTGGGTAACCCAATAAATGTTAAAATAGAAAGGTTATTTATCACTACCAGTAAAGCAGACCTAAGATGAAAACTAACTTTTGGCAATGTAGAAAAGCAGCTAATTTGTGATTAATATCCTTTCAATTGTCAGATTAAAATGCACAAAAATATTTCTAAACCATAGCTGAAATCTTAACGAGGTAAGTCTGTAGGATTCATTTCAAATAACTTTATCATTAAGAAAATACACTTAAGAACAATGTACACCTAAAATTATAGCATATTTCTAATTACAAGACTAAAATATACTAGCTCCATCCCTTTCTTTTTATGACAAAGCTAAGGTATAGTTAGCTCTTGTTCAGCTGTCAGTCTAAATGTCCAATTTGTTACAATATTTCATTTGTTCCCTCAACAACACACAGGCCAGAGAATACTAAAGTACTATTTAAAACAAGTCCTTCTGAGGCTGAATGCATCTAATTTAACCAGCTGTGAAAATTACAACCTGTTATTTTCTATTTCCACCTGTATGATTCTTTCACTGACACATAACAATATCCAGTAGCAGATTCCACAGCCATGGAATTGAGAAAAGCCAGCAAGTGACACTGAATAAATGGAAGGAACCATGATGAATATTCTCCAGTATCAACCACCACCAAATGGGATAAAGTTAGTCAGCAGAATTAGTCACTAAATCAGTAACCAGATGATTAGTTAATTTGACTATCAGAACCTAATTAAATCTATGACAAATTTGTTTTTTTCTGAATAAAGGTTTTATACAACCTTAAGTAATTTTTAATCTGACCTAATATATGCTTTACAATTAGCAGATTCAGGATTTCAGCGTGTAACTTAAAAACAATTGCATTCATTTCATTTCAACCCAGGAGTCTCCTAAGAACATTAACCCTGAGATCCACGCTGTAGGATCATCCAACAGCTTATTTTTAAGAACTTCTTGACTGCACCGATAATTCAGTATTTTTTTATAAATTAAAGCTAGGTTTTCTTTAGCATCTGTTCTTTGGCAACTAGAATTACAAATAATCTCCAATGTTTCATTCCTCAATGGTTCAAGGTTTCATATTTTTCCACTGATCTTACTGTTGACTGTGGACAACTTTATGCAATTAGTTTATTTTAGTATATAAGAATTATATTTCTCTGCCCAAAAGTTAAAGCAAAAATACTTTCTTCTATAAGAAATATGAACATCCCTTACTGATGATATATTTTAGTTAAAACATAGAAATACCATGCTTTAATTTGATCAGTCACCCATTGTAATCCTTTACATTTTAGAAATGAAAACTTAGAGACAAGTAGATAAATTGGTTACAAATTTAGGGTGGCTAAATAACCAATTCAAGTAAATACCAATTCCTAACTGTGCTGCAGATACAAGTCCATGGACAGTCACAGTCTAATTTTCAGAAACTAAATTCCTATGTTTGATATTTTGGGGTCTGTTGATATTATCTACTCTAGGACAACTGCATGCTTGTATGAAGTTATCTTTCAAATTTTATCCTGTCAAAAGGAATTTCTCATACTTCGAATCCATGAATGGATTAAGGCGACATGGAATCTGGATAGAAATGGCTGATTAGTGTGAACACATCAGTAGCCCCCTTAAACCATCCATCACCTTTCGCTTCTGTTGGGCATAGCTCGTGTTATATTGGCCAGCGGCTCTGCGTGCTTCCTCTTCATGCTCTTGAATTTGCTGTTGTAAGAGAATGAGCTCACCAAGCAGACCCTGCCATGAGTTTATAATGAGGAGAAGAGGAAAATTGGGGAGGAGAACAATGTTAAACCAAAGGGCACAACAAAGGAACAGGTGTAAGGATAGGGAGGAATGGAGAGTTTATAACAAAAATGGAAACTCATCTTCTGTACCTTTAGAGACACTTATCTAACTGGGTACTGTACTACATTTCTATTTTTTCCCCCCACAGTAAAATTAGAGGCCTCAGAACACAGCAGAAAAAGTGAAAAGGAAAATGAATAAATGACTGCTGAATAAAATGAGCCAGATAAATAATATCAACATAGTGTAAAACTGAGACTAACTGGAACACTCACTGATGATGGCACCTCAGTGGAATTTCCAGGTAACTCTTATTTTGGAATTGCTATTATACTTCTGCTGACCTTGCCAAATATGAATTTCAATCACAATTTTTTAAAAAACTGAATAGAGAATATATAAGGTATGAGGGACTGGATTAAAGCTGGAAATTGGGCTTCTTTTACAGTTTTCACTAAATAGCAAATTGCATTTATTATATTGGAGTCCTGGTGTGGTGCTGTGGGCTAATGCGTCAGATTGCAAAGTAGTCTGAACAGCAAGGTTTATGGTTCAAGCTCACCAGCTACTCCTTGGAAACCCTATAGAGGGTCATTATGGGTCGGGATTGACTCAACGGTACTTAACAACAACAACATTTATTATATTATCAACCGTAAGGTTGGCAGTTCAAGCTCACCAGCTGTTCCTTGGAAATCCTATACAGGGTTGCTATAGGTTGGAACCAACTCGACGGCACTTAACAATAACAACAATTTATTAAGTATGGTGGAAGTCCTGGTTTGGTGCTGCAGGTTAATGCACTGGACCGCAAGGTCAGTCTGAACTGCAAGGTCGGTGGTTCAAGCTTACCACCCACTCCTCAGAAACCCTATACAGGGTCGCTATGAGTCGGAACTAACTAGATGATATTTAACAATAACAGCAGCAACATTTAATAATAAATGTTTTCTTAACTAACTAATTTTCTTTGTTATTGGACTTCAAGACTGCAGTTCCTCATATTTTTAATGAGTTAGTCAAGGTTTTACATTAATTCACACATTCTATGTACTGTGTACACAGGCTTGCTTGACTAAAATTTAGGTTGCTTTTGGAAAATTATAAAAATGTTTTAGGATCTAACTTCACATCATACAACATCAGAAAACTAGTTTGACTGAATTTTCACTTTTTATCAGCTGTTATGACATCAAATAGAGATAGCCTCTAGGATATAACCAAGCCCATATCTATTTCTAAAGCAAAAGCATTATAAAAGAATATGAGATCTGGAAACAATCAAGTTATAAAAAAGAAAAAAATATAACACAGTTTGGGCCTATGCACAAAATAATCACCTTTCCTATTTCTAACATTCATTCCACTTAATAATCATCAAAATGTTTAACTAGTACAATATTTACCACAATATAGTCACATGTAGAATAGACTCAAATACATGTCTTTTTCTGAGATAATATTTTTAATCACTGGCCTGTTAGATCATCAACCTTGAAAAATGTGGAGGAAATACAACAAAGGTTTGATACCACACAACTAATATTTTCTTACCTAGAAATCCTAAAAAGGCAAAGTTTCAATGAATGAGCTAAGTCATTATTTGCACAAAAAATAGTGTTCTAGAACAATGGGTTCAATTTTTACCAAATTATAAAATTAAAAAGCTAGGTAAATATATGCTTACTAAAATCAAGTATATTAGGAATTTTAACGAATTTGAGCTTTTTAAAATGACTGCCAAAGCATATTTTATTTTGTATAATACAGTTATAGAGTATCTGGAAATTAAATGCTAGATAAAATTACATTTAAAAGTAATTTAATTAGTAGAGACTCATCCAGAAGCTTACCTATTTAATTCATTTTATATAACCCAAAGACTTATGTAAAATAAATATAAAGCCTTTCTAGAAGAGAAGTACATATAAGCAAATTAGTTAAGCATTATAGTAAAGCATGTTAAATTAGGAACAGTAATAACATACAACTTGGAAGCTTTTTATTTTGATCCTTAGTTTAAAACATTCCAAAATCCAAAGCCAAACACAATGCAATCAAGTTGATCCTGACTCACAGAGACCCTACTCAGGGTTTCTGAGACTGCAATCTTTACAGGAGCAGACAGCCTCATCTTTCTCCCAAGGATGTTAGGCTATGATTATTTTCAACATTAGACAGGAATGAAACTGGCTGACTTACTTAAATCAAAGGATGAAATTTTTTTCAGCATGGTTTTTCTTAGCATGACAAGTCCAGAGAACACTAAGGTGGCATATAAGTGAAATTTCAATTTTGCTTCTAGATTCATTAGTAAAAATATTGTTTGTAAAAATCTAAGCTTTAAAGTCATATACCTTAAATAAATTAATTCTATGGTCATTATCTCTTTACAATAAGCACTGAACTGAGAACTACCAGGTGGGCAGTTCAAGCCCACCAGCCACTCCAAGGGAGAGAGATGAGTCTATATGCTCCTACAAAGATGTACAGGCTTGGAAACCCTATGTAGGGTCGCTATGAGACAGAACAGATTCGACAGCACTTAACGACAACAAACAAACATCATTATCTATCCAAGAAAGGTAATGTTTAACTAATCTACTAGATTATTCCCTTAATAAATTATTTTTATGACACTGGATTTCATCGAGCAGATTTTTTAAAATGTTTAATCATTTTTTTAAAACCACCCAAATGTTAAGATTTTGAAAACAGTTCCATTTAAAGAAGGCTTCCCATGTTGGGATTACACTTTCATTGTGTGTGTGATGGGGCTTCAAAAAGTTCATGGAAAAATCCCAGTTTTTATTTTCATTTTTCGATGAACTTTTTGAAACCTCCTATTTTAAGAAATTTACAACAAAGAAAGGCCTGTATCCTTTTCATTTTAATATAATTTAATACCTAGAATAAATATATTAACTATGTTATATTAAATATATCCTGTACCTAGAACAGGGCTTGATCTATGAACCTGGCTGGAATGAATCAAATTACTATTATCCAAAGTCACATATAAAGTTTCCAACATAAAATCCAAATGGAGCTTCTTGGAAAATGCTCTGTCTGTAAACAAATGACACATCAAGTGTACAATCCATTTTAGACAATCCCTAGAACTGACTCCACAGAAGTTAAGGAAAGTGAGGGGAAGAAACAAAACAAATCTTGTTAATATACTGTTAATTCAAATTTTAAGAGAATAATGATCTCTCACTGTCACTACCATTTTAATGGACAAGATTTACTTAGTGCTTACTATGTGCCAGGGGTCTCGTGTTTACTACTGTTGTTGGCTGCAGCAACGTTAGCTATACAGGGCTTCTGAGGAGCTGCTGATGGGTTTGAACTGCCGACTTTTCAGTTAGCAGTCCAGAGCTTATCCTATAGTACCATACCAGGTCTTGTTTTAATGGGCTTAAAATAATCAGAGAAGAAACCAGAAGCATAGAAAAGCTAAGTAACTTGTCCAAGGTCACATAGTTTGGAAACTTCAAAGGGTACAATCTGAATTCAGGCAGTGTGACTTCCAAGTCTGCACTTGATACTATTCTGTAAAAGATCTTTGTTTTTAAAAAGGTTTGATCTATCTGGGTCAATCCATATTTACAAGGGCAAAATGGCATACTTCAATACATTGGGAGGTACATTTAAGTTATAATTTTCTGAGTAGTTAGTTGCTTCCAGATTCAGTAGTAAAAATATATTTGTAAAAATCTAAACTTTAAATTCAAATATCTATGCCTTTTTGTCAGAGTAGTTAGTTGACAGAGATCTTATGGCCTACAATCTTAAAATATTTACTATCTGGCCTGTAAGAAAGAATACAATTGGTTCAGGTACAAAGATGAGACTTAGGAGAAAACACACAAAAAAGGCTATAGCACACAGTGAGTTTGTTCAGTTAATCATACCACCAAAACTCAGACTTTAAAAAAGTATTTGGTGAGTTTGCTTAGAATTCATGTATGTGTAAATGTGGAAGGTTATAATTTTGTTTAATTAATTCAAATACACAGCATTTAAAACTGGGTTCCTGACAAATATAAATGGAAGCCATTCATTAGACACTTCTTGGTGAATAGCCAGCAGCATCCTATCTGTGCTTGTCCAGAATCCAGCAACTCAGCACACAAATGATGTCACTATTTTGTTGTATCTACTTTCATCTATTTCATTTGGAGTTTAAAATGATGTACATGGTCCTAGTAGCAACAGTAGCTTATAACCATTTATCGTAGCAACAAGGAGCCTTGATAGCGTAGGTTATAAATTGGGCTGAAAACGGCAAGGTCAGCAGTCCAAATCTACCAAGTCGTTTCGAGGGAGAAAGATGAGGTTCTGTTCCCGTATTGATTTACAGCCTCAAGAACCCTATACAGTCACTAGGAGTAGGAACAATGTGACCACACACAACCACCACCAGCACAGCTCTAGATGTCACCCCTTCCCTACCTTTAGCTAGAGAGATCTTTTAACCATGGAATACTGCTCAGGTCATGTCATGTCACAGTTCTCTTTTAAACCCTCTGTGCCTTTTTTCTTAAACAAAACAAAATATTTTATTGTGCATTGAGTGAAGGTTTACAGAACTGATCAGTTTTCCATTCAACAATTCATATACAGCTTGATTTCTGTCAGTAATTGTAATCTTTACAATGTAACATCACTTATCCCACTTTCTGTGCTTCCCATTTCCATTCCCCCTTCTTTTTCAACCTTTCGAATTTTGTCCTTGGATAAACACTGACCTTTTGATCTCAAATGACTGATGATTCTAAGGTGTTTATAGCTCCACAGTGTTCGTCTCGCAGACCCGCAGACTTTGGTTGAGCCATAGGGATGAGCTCATTTCTAGAACTAAAAGGTGACTAAGGACCATAGTTTCAAAGGCTTCATAAGTCTCCATCTAACCACTCAGCCTGATCTTTTTTATGGTTTTGAGTTCTGCTCCCCATTTTCTTCCCACTCTATCCAGGACCTTCTAATGTGATCTCATTCAGCCTGCTCAGGAAGTTTTAAAAGTTACTTTGGTCCAATAAAACAACTTTATGAAAGTAAAGAGTTCTCTCCCCTCCCATTTAAAATATATTCCCAAGCACTAAAGCTACATGTTAAAAATGAACTAATTCTGCTATTTGACTAAGAAGAGTTATTATCCTAATTTCTTCTCTTCCAGTAATATGTAACTCAGTTAAAGATGTTTAAAGCCAATTGAAGAAGGCTTTTAATAGTTCATCAAAAGGAAACATGGATTATTAACGTTGCTTCAATCCAGAAATGCTATATCTTGTTATATTATCTGGAATATTCCCACAAATAAAAATTTTAAGAGATGAACCAAACATACTATTACCAATAGATATTTAGTTATTACATTACACTATTATAATTTCTATCAAATACTTTTATTTTACATTACTATCTATTCATGCATAATAAGTACTTTCTGATGCTTCCTGAGCAGCATAAAGCTGTAGTGAGCCTATTCTGAAGGAATACAATAAGGATGACTGTTGTCAGTCGACTATGCCTTAGGCAGGGCCCTCTCCCATTTCTTCCTCTGATTCCTCTGCTCCCCTACCTACCAGACTCCAGAACACAAGTGGTTTGGCTTCCTGACCAAGAATCTAATCAAGTATGATGCATAGAGGGGATTGGAACCATGGCAATGAAACGATGTATGGTGGAATGAATGTAAAACTAAAGTTCTCCCGTGTAAAATATCGTATAATTCACAATAAAACATGGAAAAAAAAAAAAAAAGAATCTAACCAAGAAGAGTTGCTAGTTGTTAGTTGCTCAGGAAATAAGAATTTCCTGAATTTGTAGTTATTTCATGGTGTGGAGTACAGAAATTTAATTGTGCCAGTTACTATATAATTGGCTACATGAAGAATCCCAAAAATCCAACTTAAGCAACACTATTTTGTTACAACCCAGGTACCTTCACATTCATGTCCTCCTCAATGAAACAAACAAACAAATAAAAAACAACAACAAAACAGTGCCCTTGAATCAATTCCAACTCATGGAGGCTCCATGTGTATCAGGGTAGAACTGTGCTCTATGAGGTTTTCAATGGCCACTCTTTAAAGAGTAGATCGGCAGGTCTTTCACCCAAGATGCCCTTGGGTGGGCTTTAATAGCCCATCTTTTGTTGATTGATTCAACTCTGAAGAAGATAGATTAAATTTGGTTTGTGGCAACAAAGATAGGTTTAGGTAGTATGTTTTTCTCTCTGTTTAACTGTAACACTCTATTGGCCTTTATATTTGGAATCTCTGGGCAATGCAGACATTCATGGCTACCCAGGGATTCCAAATATAAAGTCCAGGAGAACGGTACAGATAATCAGAAAGAAAAAACATATTACCTAAACCTATCTTTGTTGCCACAAACCAAATTTAGTCTCTCTTCTTCAGAGTTGAATCAATCAACAAATTAATTTGTTAAGAGTGAAACACTACCCTATGTGCTCTGAGAATAGAATTAATAGAATAGGCTATTAACAGAATGCAAGCCAAGTAAACAGTGGCAGTTTATGAGACGGTAACAATCAGTTAAGCTTATAGAATGAGTAGAAATCAGGCATGTAGAAGAAATGTATATTGCAATGTAAGAGGTGCAATATAAGACACAAAAGTCAGAATTATATTGCAATGTAAGAGGTGCAATATAAGACACAAAAAGTCGTGGAAATGAGTGGCATTATGGTATTACCTTTTAATAATTATATTTAAAGCATTTTCCATGATTTGGGTGTTTAAAGGGCTTTTCAAAAACTTTCTTTAAATTATAAATGTACTTGTTGCTTTCAGAATAACCATATTCTTTATTTTTCTGTGTGATGTTTATAAGCAATGAGAACTAATGTTAAGACAGAAATATCAATATTACAATGTCTTGTTTACTAAATTGTTTTTCTCTAGACTACAACAATCTTATTGAAGCTAAAAATCACTAACCTATACAAAAATCAACTGAACATTTTTGTCATCTATACATATTGTGATACATTTGCTTATTTACAAATCCAATGAGTCACCAGACTCCATTGCTCACTAAAGTAGGTTCACCAGCCCTATTCTCAATCCATCTTCAAGTCCTTCAGGTCCTGGTTTTCATGGATATTATTCAGTTCACACCAAGGGCAGTTTCTACTATTTTTCTCCAGTGGACACATATTTTAAAGATTTGATTAACAAAAATGATTTATTAAGAAGTAGATTTAGAATTTTTTTTCCCATTTTTTGATAAAAGATGGCTATCATAATTTTTGATCAGTAACAACATAGATAAATGTTGTTGTGAAGAAGTGCTGTCGAGTCAGTTCCAACTCATAGCAATCCTGTATAGGGTATCTGAGGATAAACTGGTGGGCTTGAACTGTCGATCTTGGGATTAGCATTCCAGTGCTTATCTTACTGCACCATGCCAGGACACCAACATAGGTAATTTGTGTACACAGATTAAATATTTGGCTAGCCTACAAAGTCTAATATGGAAACACATGCTTTTTGCAGACATGTTATTTTCAAATTGTAAGAATACCTAGAAGACGCAGATTACAACCTTCCAGAACAACAAAAAGCCTAGTGATCCCAGGCTGGGAGCCACGGACAGCCAGGGCATGGCGTTGTTCACTCTGTCTGACTCAGGTCAAACCATCTAACACTTGTGTTTGCCTCAACTCCCTGTCAGTGTCACTTCAGTTGACTTTTAACAGTCCTAGAGCATGCCTACCGAATTGCTAGTTTTCACTTTCTCACTTTCTGGTTTGCTGATTTAACAATTGTATACTGTAATAGAAAATAATTGGAATACAGTTTATTAAAATTTTGACTATCATGCAAAAAATCTAAAGTTGAAGGACAAAAAGAATTTCTTCCTTCTACACTTAGAATTTCTTCCTCTTGCTTTCCCAATAAACACAAAATTATTTCCTTTAATGTATTCAAATAACTTTCAATGTAAGAGCTACATATTTCATATTTAATTTTTAAATGTTCGTAGAATAAGTTTTTTTTTTAAATCTTGAATCTACTTATCTAGATAATGCTTTTTTAAAATTTCAAGGAACCAATTATTTTAACAATTCCAAAACAATGAAAAAGTGACAATTAAGAAAATAATCAGATTATGAAGATATAAGGCAATGTGATTCTATATTTGCAATTTTCGTATAACTTTCATACAGATTTTGTTAATAGATATGTGTTAAAATTGGCAAATTCTAAATAATACCATATGTAACTTTGTTGACTTCCAATATAACAGCATCAATAGACTACTTCTTAGTCTCTTAATGTTTCCCTAACATTGATCCCTAGAAAAAATTGTCATGCAAAAAGAAAGCAATTGCTAAGTGCATCTGGAAACCTTGTACACTATAGCTTCTCTTGGAATCATATAATGCACATGAGCACAGGAAGGCCTGAGAAACCATAAAAAAGCCTGTGGATTTTGTCTAAACCAACATCTCCTATACGTAACCAACCAAAACCAAACCCATTGCACTAAGTCAATTCCAACTCAGAGCAACCCTGTAAAAGTTTCCATGACTGTAAATCTTTACAAGAATGGACAGCCTTACCTCTCTCCTGATGAACAGCTGATGCATTTGAACTGCCAACTTTGGAGTTAGCAGTCCAGTGCTTAGCCTACAGTACTACCAGCATATTTAGTAACAAAATCCTCTCCTGGAGACAACCCTTGAAACTATTATTTCACAGAATATATCTAGAGGAAAAAGATAGGCTTCTTTAATTATACAAGGGAGCTTCAAAGAGTTTGAGGAAAAATTACATCATCTTTGAGTTCCTTTCTCCATGAACTTTTTGATGCTCCTTCTTATTTTCAGGACTGCCACGTTAACACCCTGTGCTTTCTCTAAGATTGGTAATAATGATTGTACTTGGATGTCACCATTTTCAAAACTTCTAAGTAGTAAAAACTTTAAAATCTTTCAAGACTACCTATACAAAGAATTCTCCCTTACTCTTACCTTTCTATAGAGCTTGTCACTTTCAGCTCCATGATCTGTTGCTCTAAATGCTGTTTCTCCCGGTGAACCTTAAAGATAAATATTAAATCCTTTAAGTTCTCCAAGGGCAAATCATCTAAAGCTAAATTCAAAACAATGTCAATTTAAAAGAGAAGTGAATTTTTAAGCAACCCAGATCCAAAGCGTCAAATCACTTTTAAAAAACTGTTGTTATTTTTAAGGAACAACACTGGGTATATCTATTCAGGGACTAAAACAAAACACATAACACATGTTTAACTTATTGAAAAAAAAAAAAAAACACCTAGAAAATACAATGCAATCTTTGGTAAGGCAATCTTTGGTAAGATTTTACAACTGAGTACTTACAGACTGGCTATACATCACTGCCATTACAGACCACATATAGTAGGAAAATAAATTTTAAATGTCAACTATGACAGGGCAGATGAGACATACTAAAATTAAAATGACTTTTCATTTCAATTATCAAAAACAATTACTTCTATTTCAAGAAAATATTTTGGCTAAGCAAGCTTGTCTTTTTTAATCGTCTTAATTTTATAATAGATAAATTTTCAGGAATCTTAGTTTAACATAAAATAATTACTTTATTATTTCTACCTAAAGTACATGAATTCACCTAATATAGTTTGGGGTTTTAAATTTCAGCATAAGCAGCATTATAATTTGGCCTGCAATTTGATTTGCAATAAGTTTATTAGAAGCATTTAAAAGGCATGTTAAGGTCAGCAAAAATGTGTTTACACACCTAACAAGAGTAGTAGGTCAGAAGCTCCTATGATTTCACTAACCAATTTGTGACCTGTGAAAAATCAGCAAAAGGGGAAATAAAATGTAAATTTTAACAGGGATGAGCAAACAAAGATATCTGATATCTCAGATTTATATCGTGATAGGGCAGTAATTGGCAAATATGCCAGGATGAACCTTAATAAATTCTATTCATCATGGTTCACCATAATTAAATGTTTTACGATCACCAAATTGGTTGTAAACAAATGATGAAAAGTAAACACATAGGAAGTCTCATCTAGGCTGGCAAGAACATGTGGCTTTTTCCCCTCACTGAGTATTGCCAAGCATGTTTAAGTGCTTCTAAATGTTTACATTATTGACTAAATGAAGATTAAAACCACTACATAACAAAATTTTGTGACAATACATATATACAAAGTTTTTTTAAAATCTAGTTTTTCAGTTGTATAAATGTTTTAAATTTAAAAGATGAAACACAGGGAGGAGGCAGCATAGGTAACGTACATTAAAGGGACTGCAACTGAGATGAAACAAATTGTATGATTTGTTGAATGTGTAACTGATAGGATCTATAAACCTTTACTGAATTCACAACAAAAAGCTAAAATAGAAGAAAAAATGGGAATAATAATAATAATAATAAACAAACACAGCTAAGTATTTTTCCTTTGTGATTCTTAAAATTTAAAGATAGCTAAAACATAGGCCTTTCCTTACCTGTGGTAAAAAAGTCCTTCAGTAAACTGAGGCTCTCAACAATCTTGTCAAAGTCTGGTGCCAACTTTGCAAAGTCTTCTGAATTAGGAAGGGCTTTTCTAATTTTCTCTAGAAAAGATAAACATATACACACTCTTAAAAAAAAAGAATTTGAGTATTAAAATATTAATCTAAATTTTAAGCATCATATAAAAATTTATATATATACATACATATATATATTTCCATCATAAACAAAGTAACATTTTATTTTATTCTATAAGACATGAATGTTTTAGAAGACTCAACTAAGCATATGGCTTAGATGAATACCTTTGATTTACAGGTTAAATGTGTTGAGACAAGAGAATTATATTAAAAATGTTAACAGTCGATTAGAATTAGAATTATATTTCAGCAGGAAGTCACTGGAAAGAAGCAAAGATCAAAGAAAGAGAAAAACATGGCTTGAAGTGCTGGGCCTGAACTCAATAGTGGTGGTGGTGCTCCATAGAGTCGGTTCTGACTCATAGTGATCCTGTACAGGGTGTCTGAGGCTGTAAATCTTTACGAAGCAGAAAGCCTCATCTTTCTCCGGAGAAACAGCTGGTAGTTTTGAACTGCTGAACCTGAGGTTAGCAGCTTGATTCATAACCACTACGCTACCAGAGCTCCTGAACTCAACAGTACAGGTCAGGAGATCCTAGTTCCAATTCTCTAGGACAGAACTCCATTATTTTTCTTTTTCCTTTCATAGTCCTTAAGAAGACTCACACACATTCCCAACTAACAATAATTGTCCAAAAGCCCAAGGCAAGCTTTTATTTTATTCCTGCTAGCTTTATTCATAGAATGGTCAAATAATTATTATTTTATTTACAAATATTCAACAAGCTTGTCAACATCTGATACTAACTTTATAAAGTATTCTGAATTAGGAAAAACTTCACTAATTTTCTCTGTTGTTGTTGTTAGGTGCCATCGAGTCGGTACCAATACATAGTGACCCTATACCCAGCATAACAAAACACTGCCCGATCCTGAGCCAACCTCACGATTGTTGTAAGACTTGAGCCCATTGATGCTGCCACTTGGCCAGTCCATCTTGCTGGGGGTCTTCTTCTTTTTCTTTGACCCTCCACTCTACCAAACATGAGATCCTTCTCCAGCAACTGGTCCCTCCTGACAATATGTCCAAAGTATGAGTGACGAAGTTTGGCCATCCTGCCCTCCAAGGAGCACTGGCTGCACTTCTTCCAACACAGATATGTTGGTTCTTTTGGCAGCCCATGGCACTTTCAATATTCTCCTCCAATACCATAACTCAAAAGCATCAATTCTGCTACGGTCTTCCTTATTCCCATGGCTTGCTTGGGTCAAGCGTGCCTTAGTCTTCAAGCTGACACCTTTGCTCTTCAACACTTTAAAAAGGTGTTGTGCAGGTATTGCCCAATGCAATACGTCATTTGATTTCTTGACTGCTGCTTCTGTAAGGGTTGATAGTTGATCCAAGAGGAATGAAGTCCTTGACAACTTCAATCCTTCCCCCATTGATAAAAATGTTGATTTTTGACCCAGTGGTGAGGATTTTTTTTCTTTACATTGAGATGCAATCCATACTGAAGGCTGTATTCTTTGATCTTCATCAGTACATGTTTTAAGTCCTCTTCACTTTCAGCAAGCAAGGTTGTATCATCTGCATATAGCAGGTTGTTAATGAGTCTTCCTCCAATCCTGATGCCATGTTTTTCTTCATATAACCCAGCGTTTCGGATTATTTGCTCAGCATACAGGTTGAATAAGTATGGTGAAAGAATACAACCCTGTCACACACCTTTCTTAATTTTAAACATTAAGTTTTTCCATGTTCTGTTTGAACATAAGAATATGTACCAGATACTATTCTTTAGTACTATTAACAGTGGTAACTTGCTTAGTTCCCATGACAAGTCTACAAAGTAACCATTATCATCAGCCCCGCTTTCTGACGAAGGTACTGGGACACAAGTTAAACCACTTGTCCCAGGTACATAGCAAGGAACTGAAAGAAGCAGGATTCAAGTCCAGGCAATCCAGCTCAAGAATCCATGTTCTTCACTCCTACACTGTGGTACTGGCAAATGTTTAAATGCTCTCCTCATGTAATATTAGAGGAATAAGTTTAAAGTGTTTTGATAGGGCACAGTTTTGTCTTTAAGAAAATCCTGTGAAAATCCATGGAGAGATTACATCCACCTCCACATATTCCTAAACTAAGAAATTAGAGAAAGGTTAAAAAAAAAAAGAGTAAGGAAAATAACTTCGTACAAGTTTTGTTTTGTTTCTTAAAAAGACCATTACCATTAGTTACTGGTATAATATTTATCATATATACTTTTTCCTCATCTACTTCTTGTTAGAAAAAAAGAGCCCTGGTTCTGCAGTGGTTAAACTTTCAGCTGCTGATGGAAAGGTTGGTGGCAGTCTTTGGCAGTTGGCTTCCATAAAGACACACATCCTTGAAAACCTACTGGAAGGTCTACTTTATCCTTCAGGGTTGCTATAAGCCAGGATTTTCTCAGCACTGGGTTTGGTTTTCACTTTTAGTGTTAGAAAAATGGGAGCTAAGGCTGAGGATAGGACAAAATCATGTGGGAGACTACCAGACTCTTAAGAAACCTAGCTACAGAATGTTGAAACAAGCTATACAACTAAAGGGGGCTAGATGGGTGAATTATGGTGCACCTGCTCTGGACAACACTATACCATGCTAGAAAGGATGATGTTGGGGAAGGTTGCTTGGGAAATGCTGATACAATGTGTTAGCTAGCAAAAAGCAAATACAGAAGTATAGGTTCACTATGACTGCACAATTATTTTTAAGAAAATTATTGACTATATGTTGTTGTTGTTAAGTGCCATCGAGTCGATTCAGACTCATAGCGACCCTGTAAAGGGTTTCCAAGGAGCAGCTGGTAAGCCTGAACCACTGACCTTGCAGTTCAAATAGCTTTACAGTCTGGCGCATTTACCCCCAGTACTGTATATACATCAACAATTTAGAAAATGCTCCACAAGGACTGGAGTGGCTGTGTTAAAAGTATGAGTGAGCAGATAATCCTTCTTAGGAAATTTCTTTGATAAATCTACTTTGATAATCATTAAAATTGCTTTACACTACATATCAGTTGAAAAAAACAAAAGAGAAATACTTTAGTGCCAGTAATACAAACCAAAATCTATATAGTCGTCAATCTCCCACACAATGTCTGGAACAATCCATTTATATTCACTAAGGTCAGGTATCATATCTTTCCACTGATCAAAAGTCTAAAAAATAAGAAAGTATATTAGTGAGGTGCTCTAAATGCCATAGATAAACAAAGAAAAAAGTAATTTTAATTTATCTGTGTTAACCTACTAAGAGTGATGCACTGTCCTAAAAACTTACAAGGAACAAATTTAATTGGTTTCAGTTCCTCTAAAGAATGATTAGTAGGTTATCATAGAGCATATGTAAATAGCCTTTCACTTAACATAAAAATCCAAAACTAGAAACTCCTATTTCAAGCAGGTTTTATGATTTGTCTTTAAATAGTGGTTTGGAAGAGAAGCACAAACAGACAAGAGTCAGGAGGCTTTGCCTTGTGTCCTGGTTGTGTGAGGTGTAGGTGGTTGTGTTGACTATGCCACGTGCCACCCTACTTTCCTATCTCTACCACTACACAACCAAACTGAAAAACCAAAGCAGAATGTCCTCACTCCCAACCCAGTGCTCGCTCTACCAGGCTGTTTTTATCTCCCACAATCATAACAAAGATTCAGATGGCATTTTTTCACTAGCAGTGCTAACCAATTTAGCACACGGCAAACTGTTGGCACCTTTACTCAAACACCACAGATGTCTGAACATACTGCACTACCCCACACCAGGGAGTTACACCATAAAACCTTAAGATAAGCAATCCGGAATATGTGGGATAGCAGCAGCAAAGCTAAACTCACCTTTTTGGCTGTATAGCCACCCCCAACAGCAGATCCTAATATGAGATATCGAAGTTTTAAGAGTCTTGCAGCTAACCTTGCTGGCCAAAAATTCCTGCGGGGCTGGTAGCCATATTTTGTTGGAGAAAGCTTCAATTTGCGTAAAGGAAGGTTAGTTATAGAAGAGAACAGCTGAAATGATGCCCTTAATTGAGGTCTTTGAAGCTTTAAGGTAGGATGATGCAAATGATAAATACTTCGTGACACCAAGTGCAGTTTCGGTAGTGGTAAACTTCCTTTGATTCCAGAGCTACGTTTCACTATGGATTGGCAGACCTCACTGAAAGAAAAATGGGTATGGGAGAAAAATCAGACAGGGTATCAGTGCAAAGAAACAGCTACATCCTAAAGGGATGACACATATGCATGCACACGTGATCACACAATATCACACCATACAACTGTTATGTTCTCTAACCATTTAATACATGCCAGGTACGATTCAGTGTGTGGTCTCACTTAACCCTACTAATAATCTTAGAAAGAACTATTATTATCTCCCATTTTACAGGGAGGAAAATGTTGCACAAAGAGATACAAACTGGCCTAAGCCCACATTGATATAAGGAAAGGAGTACTGTGGGGATTTCAACCCTGACATTGGGACTCCAGAACCTGCAAACTTACTTAGGCTACAACCATGGTCTTAAGAAATAAAACTGAAAATAGAAACAATGGAGTTAACAACAATAAAATACATGCAAACTTTGGTTTTCAAGTAGAAAAATCTCCAGGAGCTTAGAACTGATATTCTTTGCCCTTTCATCTGTGTCTCGTATCCTGAGATAGCTCAGGAATGGAAATTAAAGAGAAATCATCAATCCCACCTCAGGCCTCTGGATCCCCAGAAAAAGAAAGTAGCAGAAAAGCCCTGAAAGAAAAGATAACCTAGATGTGCACGTGTTACTATCTAATTCTAACCTAAGTCTCCTTTCTAACAGGGAATACACAGCTACCATTTGCTTATTTTATTCAACGCACATAGTGCTTACTAAGTTTCCAAAAATGACTGAATGAATTACATAGAACTGTAAACCTCTTAACAAAAGGAATCAGAGAACACACCAATACTGCTGTGGACGATGGTGGAGGAAAAGATGTCTTTCTGTTCTAAGTAAATGCCAGGCATTCTGGTAGATATTTTCACAAAGGTGACCACTAATTCTCAGGAAAACCCAGTAAGGTTAGCACCTTTACTTTACAAATCTCTTTCTTTAAGCTGCATCTTGCCTAAGGTAGGATGACTAGCAAATGTTACAAGACAAGGAACTGAAACTCAGGTGGGCCTGACAGTGAATTCTTTCTACAGGAGGCATTTGTGGGGAAGACCATGAGAAGAAGCAGACAGGAAACCCCAGGTGACAACGGGCATACTCTGATTCAGGACTAAATAACAGCTCTCCAATTCGGGAAACCTTGGGGATTTAGGATTTAATGTGGGAAAAAATATTCACTCACTATCTGTAGAGGCAAGGAGCTCTGGTAGCGAAGTGGTTACGAGTCAGGCTGCCAACCGCAAGGTCAGCAGTCTGAAACTACCAGCAGTTCCACGGGAGAAAGATGAGGCATTCTGCTCCCGTAAAGATGTACAGCCTCGGAAACCCTGTGAAGGGTTGCTGAGTCGGAACCGACTCCACGGTACTTAACAACAACAACATCTGTAGAGGCACACTCTCACACATAATTTTACATGCAAATGTTACTTCTGGACACAAAAACACCGATTTTCTTTTTAAAAGTTGTTAGGTAGGATGCTCATAGGCAAATGTTCACTACAGCATTTTCACAACAACAAAAAGGACAGAAACAACTCAAGCATCCATCAACAGAGGAACGGATAAGCAAAATGTGGAGCATACATACAATGAAAATAATTCAGTCATAAAGAGAAATAAAGCTCTGAACATGCTATGACTGTCATGTGTGAATCTTGAAAACAATATGCTGAGTCAAATAAGTTAGAAACAAAAGACAAATATATGATCCTATTCACAGGAAAAAGCTAGAATAGGCAAATCCATAGACATACAGAAGTTTACCTGGGGTGGAGGGGAATGGGAAATGGGGAGTTAAAGCTTATGGGGTACTGGATTTCTGTTTAAGATGATAAAAAAAAAAAAAAAAAAACCTTCTGGAAATAGAGAGGTATCACATACATATAGCTAATAGAATTGTAGACTTAAAATGGTTAAAACAGCACATTTTTTAGTGTAATCTGTGAGAGTCCAAATTCAACAAGACTGCCTTGCTTTTCTGGGTTTTGTAAGTTTTCCCCCTTCTTACCACTTTTCTATCACTCCTTTAAGAGGAAAATATTTAAGTTTTCTTTCTCTGACAAGTTTCCACCTTACACAAGTTCTGATTTTTATTGAGTTTGATGAAGTTTAGAGTGAATTGGTTTTCATTCAACAAAATCATACATGTTGTTTTGTGACATTGTTTGCAATTCCCACAGTTTAACAACATTCTTCTCACTACCTCACTGTTTACTGTTTCTATTTGCCCTTCTTTCCTATCCTTATCTCCTTTATGAGTTTTATTCTTAGGCAAATGCTATCCCATTTCAAAAAAAAAAAATTTCATTTGGTTGACTGTTCTAAAAGAGTACCTCCCTAGTACCATTATTCACCTTAAATGTCCGTTATTTGGCTCTGTAGGAGAACCACAAGGTCAATGGTTTGAGCCTACCAGCTGCTCCGCGGGAGAGCTAAGGCTTTCTGCTCCTGTAAAGATCAACAGTGTTGAAAACCCTATACTGGCTTGCTGCCAGTTAACAATTGTCTAGATGAAAGCTGAGACACAGCTGTAAGCTGAGTTCCAGGCCTGACGGGTATCTAAAGGCTAGATTCTCAGGGCTTCCACCAGTCTCTCTACCAGACCAGTAAGCCCGGTTTTTCGTATGATTTTGAGTTTTGCTCAACAATTTTCTCCTACTCTACATAAGACCTCCTACTGTGATCCCTTTCACAGTAGTTAGCAGTGGTCGCTGGGCACCATCTAGTTCTTCTGGTCTCAGGATCATGAACACCGGGGTTCATGTGGCCCATCAGTTTTCTGAACTGTTTTCTTGCATCTTAAATTTTCTTTAGTTTACTTCTTTTCAAAGACACCAATAGTTGCACCTTAGATGGCCACTCACAAACTTTTACACCACCAGTCACACTATTCACCAGTAGGATGTAGAACACTGTCTTTGTCAATTATGTTGACCATTAGCGTAGTGGTTACCAGTTGGGCTGTGAACTGCAAGGTCGGCAGTTCGAAACTACCAGCTATTCTGCGGGAGAAAGATGAGGCTTTCTGCTCCCATAAAGATTTACAGCCTCGGAAACCCTGTAAAGCGTCGCTGAGTCAGAATCGACTCCATGCACATAACAATAACAACAACACTGACCATTATGTTCCCCAGGCCCAATGAACCATTTCCTCAAGGTGTATGGTTATAGCTAAGAAATTTTCATAACTTTGCCCTCAGTTTGTTGTTGTTGTAGATTCTATTATATTCATGGGTATATTTGCATGCAGTACATATAAATAATAGAGGTCCTAGTGAGGCACTGCAGGGTAAGCACTGGACTGCTAACTGCAAGGCTGTCAGTGCAAACCACCAGTCACTTCTCAGAAACCCTATATAGGGTTGTTATGAGTCAGAACCAACTCAATGGCACTTAACAACAATAAATACATACATAGAAATAGTCTCAAGGGGTTCTGGTAGCATAGTGGTTACAAGTCAGGCTGTTAATCTCACAGTCTACAGTTTGAAATTACCAGCAGTTCCACGGGGAAAAGATGAGGCTTTCTAATCCTGTAAAGATTTACAGCCTCAGAAACCCTATAGAGTCATTATGAGTCGGAATTGACTCCACGGCACATAGCCAACATCATCAAAATATCCTCTGTCATATTAATGTGTGGGTAGAGAGTCCCAGTCACCTTCCCACACTGTTGAACTTCCGTATCTCTCTATCTGTTGTTATCATTGTTGCTAGGTGCCCTTGAGTTGGTTCCTACCCATAACAACTCTATGTACAAAAGAACCAAAAACTGCCTAGTCCTCCATCATCCTCACAATTGTTGTCATGTTTGAGCCCATTGTTGCAGTCACTGTGTTATTCCATCATGTTTGGGGGGCGGGGGAAGATCTTCCTCTTTTTCTGCAGACCCTAAACTTTGCCCATCAGGCTGTCCTTCTCCAGGGAACTGGTCCCTCCCTTCTGATAACATGACCAAAGTATGTAAGATGAGGTCTTGCCATACCACCTTCCAAGGAGCACTCTGGCTGCACTTCTTCAAAAACAGATTTATTTGTTCTTTTGGTAGTCCAAGATGCTTTCAATATTCTTCACCAACATCATAACCCAAATGCATTGATTCTTCTATGGTCTTCCTTTTTTCATTCAGCTTTCACACACATATGAGATAACCGAAATACTATTATTTTACCACAATAAAAAAAAGTTGGCATAACATGTAGCATGGTCTTCAGTCTCTGCCTCCAAGATATCATAATTCATCTTACAAAACTTAAGTCTCCATCTTCTTTTGTTTCCAAAGAGGTTAAAATCTCTTGACTTCAAACTCAAGCCAAAAAATCAAATCAAACCCACTGCCAAAAAGTAGTTCCAATGAATGGTGATCCCACAGGACAGAGCAAAACTGCCCCTTAGGGCTTTCTTGGCTGTCATCTTTATAGAAGCAGATCCCGACCTTTCTCCTGCAGAACGGCTGGAACGATCAACCTTTATGTTGCTAGTAGTTAAGCACAAACCATTTCCGTCACCCAGGGAGCTGGATCACAGACTCAGCTTAGAGAAAAAGCAAAGCTTTATCTTAGCTTCAAGACTGTCTGTACCCTAGCAATCTTATCAATAAAAAATAATAGCATGAGGGAGGCAGGTCTTGATGGCAGATAGGGTAGAGGTGCAGTGAAGTTAGCCATCAGCAATACCACAGAATACCAGGTGAAGAGGGTTCAGGGCAGAGCTCCAAAACTCTGAATAGTAATAGGTAGTAATATTTTTAAAATTTGCAGGCTTATAGCTAATAGAACTTGTAGCAGGAGTAAGAAACCACGCATTTTTTAATCTGACGGGCTCGGTGGCCTAGACCTGACAACTTGGGCGAGACCAAACGGCAAGACCAAGCAGAGGAACAGACCCACCACAGAATAACATCGTGGGAACTTCCAAGCAAAGGCAGACATTACACTGTGTCGGTTATGCTTTGTTCTGATTTTCTTCTTCTTTTTTTCTTTTTGGTATCTGTTCATTGGCCCCC